TAGAGACCCTGGGGACAGCCCAGTCTGCAGGTTGCAATGTCGATGGCTGTCACCCTCATGACATCATCAGTGACATCCACAGTGGCACAGTGGAATACCCAGCCAATTAAGGAGCTCACAGGAAACATCTCAACATAGGATCATGTGACAACCAAAAAAACAAAAACAGTATTGCTCTATAACCTCTGGCTTATTATCCACTAATATATAAAGAACTTTAGACCATGGATTTAATTCTGCCCTTTGGAGTAATACGGTATTCTCTCCCATTTAAGATGGTCATTTTGCCTTCCCTTATAATCCCTCAGTTGAAAATCTCACTCTTTTTTCAATTTTACTAGAGGGTACATGCGCTCACAAAGGGCAGAAAGAAGGAAAGTGAGAAAGCAACACCCCCACCCCCCCGGGGAGGAATGACCACACTGCAGTCCCTTCTCCTTCATTCTCCTCATGGGATTTTGGGTACACATGCACACATGCCTGACGTTTTTCAAGCCGCCAGGTCCAAGATTCAAACCACACAGTTGGCAACTGGGATCCTGCCCCCTTAAACACCATGCCACTGGCTGGCCCCAATCGTTCTCATATAGAAAGACTTCTGAACATCATTAGCTTATGGTCACACAAGGGTTTATCTCCCCTCCCCTTAAACCAGTTCACAAGATTTCCCAGACATGATCTAGCCAGCACAGAATGGGATGGGCTGTGCCTTCCTGGGGCCAGAATGCAGTGTATTTCCAAATCGGCCCAGCTGCGTTTAGAAGTAGCCACAGCAGACCCGTGGACTGCGTTACATTTTTATGATCTCAACTCCAGGAGCCTGTAATGTGCCAGGCTCTATCACAAGTGCACAGATGAGTCAGATCCCTGTCCTCGACAAGTGTATGCTCATTCTATGAAATCCTGACCAAAACAAGGAAAGTCACAACCCAGGGTTGCCTAAGACTTAGTAGCTATGAAATACAGTGGGCTATCTGGGTAGAAACCTGGGCCAGGAAAAGGTTATTAGGGAAAAACTAAAGAAGTCTGAATAAAGTATGTATTCCAGCTAATAATGTTATCTGTATTGATTCATTGTGAAATATGTACCTGCTATGGTTTGAATGTGTCCCCCTACAATTCCTACGTTGAGATTTGCTTCCTATTACGACAGCATTAAGAGGAAACTTAATCTGACTATGAATTAAGAGGTGGGGCCTCTTGGGACCAGCAGTTAGCATAATGGCTATGTCGCTGGACTCCCACATAGTTGACCGCGGTTCATGTCCTGGACCTGGTGGCTTAAAACTCATGCTGGGCGCGTGTGCGTGTGTGCCCAAGATCCCGAGAGGAGAATGGAGGAGACGGGATTGCGGCATGGCCATCCCCCCCGGGGGGGGGTGATTTCTCGCTTTCTGTCTCTCTGTCTTTCTCTGTGTCTGGCAAGCACATGCGCCCTATAGCAAAAACCTCTCCAAAAAAAAGAGGTGGAGCCTCTTAGAGGTGATTAGGACTGGGCCTGGTAGCCTTATAAGGAGAAAGGACAGGGCAGACACACACTTGCTCAGTCTTGCCATGTGATGATGCATTGAGCCACTTTGAGATTCTGTGGAGTCCCTAAGGCCCCCATTAGATACTACCCTTTGACCTTGGACCTCAAAACCATGAACCTCGGGGACCAGCAGTTAACGTAATGGCTACGTCGCTGGACTCCCACATAGTTGACCGCGGTTCATGTCCTGGACCTGGTGGCTTAAAACTCATGCTGGGCGCGTGTGCGTGCATGCCCAAGATCCCGAGAGAATGGATTGTGGTGTGGCCATCCCCTCTGGGGGGTGATTTCTCGCTTTCTGTCTCTCTGTCTCTGTCTGGCGAGCGCATGCGCCCTTATAGCAAAAACCTCTCAAAAAATAAAAGAAAAATTAAAAAACCATGAACCTCTGTTGTTGATAAATGACCCAGTTTCAAGATTTCCATTATTAAGCAGCAGAGGACAGACTAAAACACTATACCAATGTAAGTTGTTAGTAAAGGGAAACCAGGGACATACAGTGTCTCTCTTTCATAGCCTGACTTGAGGAGGATCCGTATTCTCAACTGGACTAAGATGTATGTCATGCTGGGTAGTCTCTCTTTACAATCTAAATGATGTATAGCAATTTAATGTATAAATAATGGTAATAAGTGAAAAAAAGATTATATATTCAAGGGGGGGTGAACCAAGTATAGGATATATGGGAACTCTGTACTACCTCGGAAATAAAAATTCTATAAACTCAAATTTGTTCTAAAATAAAACTTATTTTAAAAAAAGAGGGGACCAGCAGTTGGCATAATGGCTATGTCGCTGAACTCCCGTGTACTCAACCACAGCTCGAGTCCCAGACCCGGTGGCTCAAGTGTGCATGTGTGCCCCAGATCCCAAGAGAAATGGAGAAGGGACTGTGGTGTGACCATCCCCCCTGGGGGTGATTTCTCGCTTTCTATCTCTGTCTCTCTCTCTTTCTGGTGAGCGCACGTGCCCTACAGCGAAAACGTCTCAAAAAAAACAAAACAAAACAAAACAAACACACACACACACACAATTAGGGGAAAACCAAAACCAGCAAGTGAGCAGTCTTGAGAATAGTCCTTGCCATTTTAATCACAGATCCTTATGGTAACAGATGAAAACTCACACATTGCACACCACGTCTGTAGGTAACAGACTCCAGATTGAGAAGTCCTTCAGTCAACGGTGGTCATGCTCACCTGGTAGACAGAGAGGGTGTTGGGAATAGGACATGGGGCAGGGTACCAACAGGTATCTTTCCCTTAGGAAGCCCAGCCCTGGTCTTCATGTCAACTGACTGTACTTTGTTTTTAATTTAAGAGATTTTGAAGTGGATGTTGAGTGCTTCCTATACCAACCCTGTATTAAACTGAGTTCCAGACTCAGTGCAAAGCTACATGCCTGGTTTGGAATGCTTATTGCTTTTTCTTAAAATTCCACCGTAAACACTGTACATTAACTGACTCTCTTGAGGGCTATTGTTAAACCCTGTTCCTCTGGGGGGGGGTTTCTCACTTTCCCACTCACTGTCTCTCTCTCAGGCAGGTCCATAAGCACTATGGCAAACTTAAAAAAAAAATTTTGGGGGGATATACATTTCTAATCCGCTTGTACAAACCTTTTAAAATCTTACTCTCCAAACGAATTCCATTTGTTGTTTCGAACTAAGAGACGAATGCTATATCTACCTAGGTGAGCAGACTAGTCTCACTCCACTGCTGTGGACCCCATTCTCACGCACACTGTTGACAACTTTCTATGGTCCTACGTTTGGGATCTGACTTCAGATTTTCTGAGGCTGGCATCATTGTTTAACTACATTAGAATTCACAGTTGCTAATATACTAACAACTGATTTTAAGCTCAAAAGGCAACAATGGTGTCCAATACACCTTTGAGGGCTTCCATGCTCAGTCTGGAATGCATAACGAATGCACAAGTGTTGGCCATACTGTGGCTACATTTTTTGAAATATAGTCGCAATTCCAAGTCTGACTTATACGATGACATGGTTCAATGAAGCTGCAAATGAACAAGTCTGTATTTAAAACAAAACACCAGAGCCATTTTACTGAAAACTAGTTTTATTTTAAAAGGAAGTGCATAGCACTCATCGAGCTCCATTGGTGTAGACTTCAGCACCACACTTGCTATTCGCAATTAATGTCATGACATCCGTTTTGGTCTGCAGTCTGTACTTGAGTAGTGTTTATTTGGTGGACTCTGCTAAAGCCCTTAATACATATCGTTTTCTTCACAGTACACACTTAATGATGGTCCAGTAATCCCAAGGAAAAACAAAACCAAAAACCCCTACTTTAAAGACTAACCAATAAATTAAACAAAACAAAGCCCACACAACTCCCTCCCACTCCACCATCCCCTGAAGCTAGCAGTTGTGAGTTGTATTTATACTGAAACCTACCGTTTTAAAAATAGTTCTAGCTCTCCAGTCACCCCGCCCCCACCTCGGGTATGCAGCAATAAGTAATCAATTATTTTATTCTATCCCCACAAAAGATTAATCCAGTGTTCCTTAGCTTTTTTTAAAATATAAACTGGGAAAGTGATTAATAAGCTTTTTAAAAAGGCATATTCTTCTATAACAAGAATGACAGAGAAACCAACCAATAAAAGTATGTGACGAGACATTAATTACCACAGGCACTGGCTGTTGTTTCAAGCTGGGATCTCTATCCCAGTATCTTACATTCATAGTATTACTGAGGTAGTTAAAATACTGAAAATTGGACTCCAGGTTGCTGAATGTGAAAGATATACTGTCTTTTGAACCCACTTTGCTCCAGATGAATTCAAGTTTTCTTGAGGTAAGAACTACCACAATCCAATTGGCAGCCATCTTTAGAAAGGAAAAGGTTAATACTATCAGAATACCACCTGCAGGCTTGAAACTGCAGTGAGTGAGCGTTCTTACCTGAGCGTTTTTTCTTGTTTTATCTACCAGACTAATAAATCCACATCATGCCCTATATTCTCTAGTTATTTTCCTTGTAAGGAAGGAACATTTCTCGAAGAATTCACGCTGGCAGAGGCGTCCCCTCATACGCATCCGCTGGAGCCGCCTGGGTCAGTCCATGACTGCTGAGTCCCTCCCCTTCCTCAGAAAGGCCATGGGTTGATTACAGAGACTCCTGCTGCATACCCACACGTCTGTATAGTCATCGGTCTGTCTTCAATGCACGTGTGGCGGGCACATACCCGTGTGTAGATTCCCTTCTATTCAAGTGCTATCTTTAAAAAACACAAACAAAAGACACACCTTACTAATTCTTACACCAGAAAGCTTCCCTCCACCAAATCTCTCTTCTCTCACAGACAGGAGCACAATGTATACAGTTCGTCGGTTAATACAATGATTTCTCCTCCTCTTTACTTTCCAAGTTATCCCCTCCTCATGCTTCCCCTCTAATGCCCTTGCTGCGATGGCTACTAGCGCCGTTCTCGCTCATTAGCAGGACAGCGCCATGTCCCAGGGCGGTCGTAGGGGTTAATCCAGTCCAAGCAGCTGCTGAAGGTTAGTAAGCAGTTCCTCTGCCGGCTCAGACTGACCAGCTGGACTCGAAGGCTACATAGGAAACCTGCCTCCCTCGTGACAAAGTGCTGCTCCAGAACAGCCCAGGAGCCACCCCGGCCACACTCCACTCCGAAACAAACCTGCAGGGCTCTGTTCTAGCACAGCCTGAGAGCCACCCGGGCCACACTCTGCTCGGAAACAACCCTGCAGGGCTCTGTTCTAGCACTGACATTTTATAGCTAGACCCCCTCGTGAAAAAAACTTTTTTTAGAGTAATACGAAATCTACGTACAAATCACTGATTGCACTGAAAAGTGCAAACCTACATACGTATCAGCAATCACAAGAACCACTGCTTCCTTCTGAGCTACGACAGAACGTTCTCATTTGAAAGCACACCCTATCCTAGCAGGAACACTTCACCCTAGGTTACAAAGGTCGTTCATACCATAGCACTCCCAAAGCATGCTGCATTACAGTTAAGTGTTTCCAAGTAGTACAAAGTCCCTGAGTTAAATGTCTTTTAATTCTAAAGATCTGAGGTTGGTCACTTAGGGAAAAAACAAAAAACAAAGAATTATGACCATCATTTAGGATAACAGATCTACTCCGCCCTTAACTTTAGTATGTAAATCCAGATACTTAGACTATTAATGACAGGGAGTTATAGTTAATCATCTAAAATCGTTTTAACTGCACAGATTTGATACAGCAATTTATGAGTTTATGCTTAGTCAAAAAATTCATCTGTATATCAAAAAAACTCAAAACTGCAGGATAATAAAAAAAAGAAAAGGACCTCTTCAAAAATTAATACTGTTACTTTCCTTCATAAAAGACTGTTTGGCAAGTCCACAAATAAACATTAGTCTTTAACACAGAAGCCAGCATTAGGCCCAGAGCCTTCCACAGGTCAAATCTCAAAATGGCAAATTGCAGTCTGTCCAAATTTTCTGTAGTATTGACTATTTCTGGAATATTTGGACCATCAGCTGGGGCCTGAACACCTGTATAAAGAGATCTGGTGAAACAGGATGTGGCACGCACGCTGTGTTTGCTTAGATCTTCCAGGTATTCATCGCACAGTGAAAGGGATAGTCAGCCATCTTGGTACGGGTACCTGAAGAGTTCTGATGTCATTTGGAACCCTTTCCTTTAGAAGATTTTCTAAAAAGCCTGCCCCAAAGCTTCAAGTCACAAAACAGTCTGGGTGTGTCACGACCTCTGTATGTAATCACCTTTCGAAGCACGGAGTAATACAAGGGTAATGTTCATTAATCTGATAGCTCCGGTTATAGGAAACACTTAGGCAGGGCTTAACTTCGACTGGGATGGCCAAAGACATCCCAACGCCAGTCTGCACGTGGCCAAGGCCCTGAACACCCGTCTGGAAGCCAGCCGGGCACGTCTGTAGTGTGTAAGAAGAGGTGTGTGTGGTAGAGACGATCTGCTGGCAGCTCGGCTGTTTTTCACCAATACTGCAGTGCGGTCTGATGGGTCTGGTGGAGATACTGAGGCTGCTGGAAGTGAACAGGCCGCGAGGGCTGGGAGGTCGCCTGGAACACACTGAGTTGTGCTGACTGAGGTCCTGCCTGTCCTCGCTGTTTGTTTGCTTCTTTCACGTCATTATCATGAGCACTGAAACAGGGAGAGAGGAAGCCATTCAGAATGCAACTTAGAAGAATTTGCAGGGGAGTCATACCCCGCCTCCCACTCCTTCATAACTGACTCCACAAACTGCCACTGCTCCCTAGGGAGCAGTCGCTGCACCAAAAGTTCCAAGGTGAGACCTCGCTCTATCTTTCTAAAGCTATCTCACTTGGTGTGAATCTTGCTGACAGCTTTGAGGATAATTTTCAGCTTGGAAAATATGTCTACAATGAGCCCCAAAGTGTGGCCACCACTTCAGTAACATTCTGGTGGTCCCTGAAATTCAATGGATTTGCCAGGACTTTGATCTCAGAGTTACGGGCTTACAGACACACACGTTCCTATCATGTGCTCGGAATCACACTAGCAGTAACAACTTCTAACTGGTTAAAGCCCAAAGGAGCTCCTCTTCTGCAGAGTAGTGGCTTGCTCATGGCAACAAGCAAATGTCAGAGGCAAGTATCCTAAAAGCTCTGAGAAGTTTAGGATACCTGTACATGTGGAAAGTTGTGAATAAGAAATTACAAACACAAGAACAAAAAGGCTTACATCAACAGCCGTTCGATACACTGCACTAAGAAATCCCAGGAGTAAGCAGTAAGACGATGTAGTCTTGCAGGCCACGTTGGAGAAAGCCGAAGAATAATCCTTGAAGAAGCCACACACGCAGCAGCTACTAAAGAAGGTGCATAATTTAGAAAGGCATAATCTGTGGAGACACCAAAAACGAACTTAAGCAAAAGAAAGCACAAGTCGCAGGCACACAAGGCACTTCCTGGCAGTCGCGACTCACCCTGCAGAGATACTTCCAGGAAATAATCTGCGTACTTGGCCATGTAGAGCTTAGTTTTTTCCAAGCAAATCATTGGCCAGCCGTCGTGAAGATCGGTTTCGTGTACTGCTTCCGAGAGATAATACTCGATGAAATGGGCAGCTGTTGGAAGGCAGAGGTTCCACTGAAAGGTTTCTAACAGTAATAGTTCCATATGCAGCAAATTCTGTTTGGTTAACACTAGGTTCATATTAGTCATGCAGCCCAGGCTGTTGAGCTGCTCCAGCTTAGGCACACTATCTTCTTTTTCTTCAAATTTACCTTATGGGAAGAGGGGGTGGGGGGAGACAATGTCAGGCAAGTGTCCATCACAGGTCTAGCCGGTCACGCGGGATCCGCTGGGTGCCAGCGTTCGGATGCCCACCACTTCTCCTGTGCCGCTTGGGTACCACCGTGGCGAGCCCCCTGTGCTCCTCATATGCACATGTCTTCTTTCTCTGTCACTGACCCTCACTTTTCCCCACCCTTGAAAAAAACATGCTTGGAACATGTAAACACTTTCATCTGTGTCCTGTTGAGTAACAGAATTATATGTACCAAATCTCTCAAATCTCACCAGCTAAATCTTTTCAGAAAATCCATTTTTGGCAGATAGGTGGCAGATAGCAAAAAAAAAAAGTTTAGAGTACAAGATAGATTAAATAACTTAATATCCCGACACAAAGCAATGATAAATAATGGTATACTAATTATTCGATTTAGTCATTACACATTATATTCCTGTACTGAGAAATCATAAAGAACCCCTACAAATGTTATTCTATAGAATTATTTTAAAGTAGATAAGAAATATACGAAAATAATTTAATGTCATACCTTTATGTAAATAAAAAATAGTTAAGTCTGAAATGCTTCATCTTGATATATTTTGTGTATAATCTTAATTTTGATAATGATAAAGAGATTGGAGGGGAACTGGGTGAATACACAAAAAATCCCAACCTTTCTCTTCAAATTCAAAACAAAATCTAGTTAAAACTGTTCAAGAGAAAGTGGGATAGTGGAAAGATGCTTCATACCCTCTTTTAAATTTTACTGCTCGAAGGAGAACAGGAGAAAAGATCTGATGGTTGCACTTGACTATTTTCAGGAAATACCTATATGGCTTCTATGCTCAGCTGAAAAATAAGGTTCCTGCTTCAGACCCAGAATAATGCTTTTAAAGATTATGTACCCAGGACCAGCATGTAGCATAATGGTTACGTCACTGGATTCCCATGTAGTTGAGCATGGTTCGAGTCCCGTACCCGGCAGCTTAAAACTCATGATGGGCAAGTGTATGTGCATGACCAAAATTCCAAGAAAATGGAGAAGGGATTGCAGTGTGGCCATCCCCCCAGGGGGTCATTTCTCACTTTCTGACTCTCTGTCTCTCCAGTGAGCGCTTATGCCCTATAGCAAAAAGCGCTTTCTTTAAAAAAAAAAAAAAGGTCATTGGGACCAGCAGTTTGTGTAATGGCTGTCGCTGGACTCCCATGTAGTCGACCGTGGTTTGAGTTCTAGACTCGGTGGCTTAAACTCCCACTGGGGTGTGTGCTTGCATGCCTAAGATCCCGAGAGGAGAATGGATTGCGGTGTGGCCATCCCCCCTGGGGGGTGATTTCTTGCTTTCTGTCTCTCTGTCTCTCTGCAAGCACATGCACCCTTATAGCAAAAAAACCTCTCCAAAAAAACTCATGCCAGGTGGGGCTGGAGGGTTCAAGTCCTGGATCTGGCGACTTGCTTTCTCATTCCTCCCCACCCCAGGTCCTCTCTGGTCAAATTGAAAAAAAAAAAGATTATGTATCATCTCATATTTCAATTTCTTTTTTTTTAATTGCCAGAGGGTCTATGTGCTTGCCAGAGAGAAATAAAAGAGAGAGAAAGAAGGGAGGGCGCTGACAGGTAGTATAGTGGTAAAGGCACTGGACTCCCACATGGCTGACCACGGTTCAAGTCCCAGACCTGGCAGCTTGCTTTCTCACTTTTTCTTTTTCTAATCAAATTTTAAAATAAAATTAAAAATTATTTAAAAAAATTTAAAAATAGGAGAGAAAGAAAGACCATTTCCCAATGAATATAGTCACATAGCAATTCTTTTTCCTTCATTTACCCATCCTGTGAGGATTTGGGGCACTCATGCATGTATATGTGCGCAGAGTGTTTTTTCAAGCCTCCAAAGCTGGGATTTGAACTGTGGTTGGACATACGGGATCAGGTTCCCTATGCACAGAGCTTGACCACGGTGCTATGGGACTGGCCCTTACATTTTAATTATTTTCTTTCCTTCTTATTTATTTATTTATTTTGATTTGCTAGAGGGAGCATGGCTTGTCAAAGACAGAGGTAAAGCGAGCGAGACAAAAAGACACTTCCCACCTTGGGGGATGGCCATGCCACAATCCTCTCCTCCAATTTTCCTTCCAGTACTTTTGGCACACATGCACAAACACCCAGCATGTTCCTCAAGCCGCAGGGTCTGGGACTTGAACATGCCATAGGCTATGTAAAATTCAGCTGTTTTTGCCACCATGCCACCAGTTGGCTCACACTTTAATTTCTAAACAAGACTTTTAGTGTATATAAAACACTGATTTTAGGTATTTCTAAAACATTACTAGAAAAAACTCATGATCTATCAAGTACTGTTGTGACTTTTTCCAGAAGTAGTAATAGAAACAGAGTCGTCTTTAAGACTCTGGGTCTTTGTTCCATAGTAGTCCATAGAACAAGGGAAGTTTATAACTAAAGACTCTCCTCAGTAGTGTGCTCTACCTTAAACGTAAAACAGTCATTATTACAGCTATTATAAATTTCTCACAAAAGATTTCAATTTCACATTCATCCTTGTTCAAAATTATTGTTAGACTAAAGAAGCACATATTACTCTATTTAAAAACTTGTTTATATTGGATAACAATTTCAATACATTTGGTTTCTTTGGAAATATCATCAGTTTATTTTATCCATTTAAAAAAAATTTTTTTTGAGAGATTTTTCACTGTAGGGCGCGTGCGCTCGCCAGACAGAGAGAGAGAGACATAGAGACAGAAAGCGAGAAATCACCCCCCAGGGGGGATGGTCACGCCGCAATCCCTTCTCCTCCATTCTCCTCTCGGGATCTTGGGCACGCACGCACACACACCCGTAAAAATATTTTTTGAAGAGACAGAAAGGTATCCCAAAACAGAAGCGTGTCCCTGTGAAATTTCTCTACTGGAAGGGATGGGTTTGTACCATGTGCTAGAGCTGCTACACCAAATGGCAGTGGCCGGTCGCTCAGCACAGATGCTCCGTGTACGAGCAACAGCAGTGCTGCAGCCAGTGGAGGTCTGCTCCTGCAGGTCCACCCAGGGGCTGGGGAGAAGGTGCTGCTGACTGCCTCGGTCTGAGCTCAGGAAGTGGCACTGGGGTCGAGGTTTTGTGTGATGCCAGGAGACTATAAGCTCATTTGCTGAGAAGAGCCTAAACCCTACAGAGCAAGAGAGATGGCAGATCTTCCTGCTCCTGAGAGATTTTGAACTTCTTTAGATTAAAACCATTTTTTTTTTTTTTAAGAGGTTTTCGCTAGAGGGCGCATGCACTCGCCAGACAGACAGAGGGAGCAAGGGACCA